TCCCTCTCGTACTGTCTGGTGAACGCTGTAGTCCCAGGAGTCAGTCTAGGTGTAGCCTTGTCGATGATGTCATCGAGAGGCTGTCGAGGCTCACGTCCCCAGTGCAACCAATACGGGGGTGAACCCTGTGGAGGAGTGTACAAATAAGGTGTACACTAGCTGTGCCCGTCCTAGATGGAGATCCCAATCCTGCTGATCATGGCTGATCATAGGACGCAGCAACTGGAAAAGAATCTGGTTCATCACTTCAGCCTGCCCATTGGCTTCAGGATGATGATCAAATGTCATATCCAGTCTGAAATGAAGGTAGTCCTTTGCAATAGGACTGTCATTCATTACTGCAAAACCGCAGGTCTCTGTCAACGATAATAGAGGTGGGTGGTCCATGGTGGGTAACCCACATGTCAGCAAAGGCCGCCTGCACGGCCGAGACTCTGGCTTCCTCTGGCAAAGGAACAAGCTCTGCGTACTTGGAGAACCTGTCCACACACACCATGACCTGACGCATACCGCGAGGAACGGTCCTCCCCAGGTTAGTGAAATCAATAACCATTGACTGTGCTGGTGCATCAGGGATGGGAAGTGGTTGCAGCAGTGTGGCGGACCCACTAGGTGTGGTGCTCCGCCTGGGACGGAGATGGAGATGGAGGAAGAAGGGGAGCGAGATGGCACAACTCAGCTCCCGCGCCAGACTCCAACGCACGTACTAGAAATTGTGCGAATGCAAAATGAAATCGGAAAACAGACAACAGTTGGGGTATACCCCAGCAGACTGACGGGACTGGACTGGACTGGCTGGTACTGACAGAGGTACCGGCCTGGACTGGACTGCCCCGAATAGAACACAGGCCTGTGAGAACAGGCCAAGGGGCTGGTCTCACAGGCCAACCAGAGGTTCGTTACACGATCCTCAGCCTGTGATGAATCGCCTAGATACAAGCACGCTTCCGCCAAGAAGCGGAACTCTACCAAAGAAAAAGAAAACCTGAGTAGTTTAGGATGAGGAGCAAGCTCCATGCTGAGTCCATGCGATGCAACCTAGGATAGAAAATGTCACAAAAACAACAATGTCGCAACTAACAGCCTAAGTGAAAGCAAAAGCAACTAACTAGCATACATGTCCTAGGAAAGCAGAAAGTAATGGCAGCTAGGTCCTAGAATGTTGGAGGCAGTAGCCTCACTCTAGAAACAACTGACTAGTGTATAAGTCCTAAGAACAACAAAAGCAGAACCACTAAATCCTAGAAATGTCAGAGGCAGTAGCCTCAGTCTAAGAGCAACAAAGCAACAACAAGACAATCATATGTCACAGGAGAAGTGTGTCGCAAACCAAAGGTTGGGATGGTCTCTGAGGGTGGCGAATGAAGCCTAGGGGTCGATAACTCCTAAGGGCATCCACACATAGTGACAGGGGGAACACATGTCATCAGGCTCAATGAGGGTAGGGAACTGGGAACGAACAGAACCAATGAACCTAAWAGATAGACCATCAGGGGCGGGTAATGCTCGACTAAGGGGTGACCGCTATGGAGGGTCGACCATGCAAGGGAACAAGGGAGCCTGGTATACTGGGCGCACCTAGATGAAGCATGCAAGGATGCCTAACTAGGGCGTGAGGGATGGCAGAGGGTAGAAAGGTGATGAGTAAGGGAATCATGCAAATGACTCCTAAAGTGAGGAAAGTCGGAGCTAGATCCGTAAGCTGGGAAGCAAGGGCAACGCTAAAGTCCCGATGCCTATGCGTATACCAAGGGAGAGCCAACTCAGAGGAACCCGGCGAAAGGAGACCATCATGCCACACAACCAGGGTACTGTACAGGGTAAAGTGGTAAGAGAGTGATGGCGTCTGAAGTAGGCAGAGCTGATCGTGATGAAGTCCATGAAGCTGCCGATGACGTCCACGATGAGAAGTCCGGAATGCCGTCGAGGAAGAGCCGCAACGTCGATGAGCTGAAGTAGCAAAACTGGTGTGGATGGAGTACTGAGTAGTCAAAGACGTGGGAAGATAAGTCAGAGTCAATCTTCGTATCGAGTAGGCCGACGACCAGTGCGCTGTGGACGCTCAGAAGCATCCGACTGCTGCTGAAGGTCTGCCTCAGAAGGGGCAGGCTCGACTTCAGCGGTCTCCTCAGCCGAGGGGGAAGTAGGAGGGTCAGTGGATTGCGAGGGAGCAGTCGACCCAGCACGACGAGCACGATCATAGGCACGCACCAACATGCGAGCGTGCTTTCAAGTGCTCGAAGGGCTCTTAAGTAGCCTCCTCATCAGGGTAACCCTCCCAACGTACGAGATACTCGATGTGAGGAGGGTTGTCGTCGGTGACTCGGTGACCAATGATGTCTGAAACGAGGAACTCCTCGTGGCCGTCCACCATGATGGGTGGAGGACGCTCGTATGGTCGTCCAACGAAATGCTCAGACGGTCTACGGTAAGGACGTAGTAACGAGACGTGGTAAACATCGTGCACGCGAGCCTGGCGTAGGTAGTCGGGCAGCTTCACACGAAAGTTGACGGGGTTAGAAGCCGTATTAGAACTGACGGCCTCGAGAATGCGGCATGGGCCAAAAGCGACGTCGAAACTTGCGAAGCGTGTGCGCTTCGAGCTGTAAGTGGTGGGCGTCGATAAACGCATCATCACCGACTTTGCATGGATGATCCATCCTCGATCGGTTCGCACGTGCTGGCATGCAAGTCTGAGAAGCGACTATGTGCTCATGCGTGGTCTTCATGATCGACGTCATGTGTGCAACCGAATCATCCAGCGCGGGACAACTCGTGTCGGGGTGCATCTGTGACGGTCGAAGGAAGTCCTCGGGAACACGAGGGTGATAGCTGAGGTCGCAATAGTAAGGCGACATCCCCGTGGCTGGCGAGACGGCGTGGTTGTAGGCTATCTCCGCGTGGGCAAGATGGAGATCCCACTGTTGGCCGTCACGAACAATCTTTCGGAGAATATCTCCGAGAGTCCTGTTCGTGATCTCGGTCTGACCATTGGTTTGGGGATGGTAAGATGAGGAGAAGTGGAGCTGAGTGCCGTAAACCTCGTGGAGTTGTTGCCAAAATCGGCTGGTAAAGCGCGGGTCACGGTCAGATATGATGCTCAGAGGTAAGTCGTGGTTACGCACGACTCGGTCAAACACGATGTCGGCGACCTCACGTGCACTGATGGCATAGCGGCACAGAACAAAGCGTGCACGCTTCGTGAAGCGGTCGACGACGACCATGATAGCATCATGACCGTAGGGGGTCGGAGGACGAAGAGGACCGATAAAGTCCATTGAGATGGACTGCCAACGACCCTTAGGGATAGGAATAGGCTGGAGCTAACCATAAGGCAAGTGGTTCGCACTGTTCACCTCCTGATAGGTGGGACACTCTGCGACGTAGTCCTTCACAAAGTCCTTGCGCTTCGGCCAGACGTACAGGCGGCTCACACGAGTCAATGTCTTGTGGAAGCCCATATGACCGACGACTTTCTGGTCATGGAACTCTGCTACTGCCCGGACACGTAGTTGTCCGGTGGAGGAAACGCAAATATAGGCCTCTCTGGTGCCCTGTGAACCGTGCCAGTACACAAGACCTTGTCCCTAAGAGAGTAGTTTGAGACGGTCTTGCCACTCCGAAGGGTCGCGTGGATGTCGCGATAGTCGAGGCAGTGGTAGTACTGAGTGCGAAACTCGTCGATCACCGAGTGGTGGACGGAGGTGACCGAGATGGAAGGGAGATGGATCTGCTCCTAATCATGGTCAGGGCGCCGGGATAAGGCATCCGCGACCCGATTAGTCTCATCCTTGATGTGCTCAGTGGTGAAACTAAACTCGGATAGGTCGCACCACCAACGAGCCTGTCGAGGAGTGAGCTTCGGTTTTGTCAGAAAAGCCTGGACAACAGAGTTGTCTGTGCGCACCATGAATGGTGCCCCGTGCAGGTAGTGACGCTAGTGCCGAGCGGCATAATTTGCTGAGTAAAAGTCACGTTCATCAGCGGTGTAGTTTATCTCAGCGGGAAGGAGCTGATGGGAGTAAAAGGCTATCGGAAAATCACCTGAGCGAGACTCGACAGTGCCGTCCTCAGCGATGGTAGGAGAATGGTCAATAGAAGGTTCGTCAGTAGCTGGACGAGTAGGCGTCAGGCGGGAGGCAGTGGTAGGGGTAGGGGGTGGGAAGCGAGGAATACGAGGATGAGAGGAATCAGGAGAGGAGGGGAAAATCTGAGAAAGCACTGCTCCTATAGCAAAGTCTGACGCATCGGTGGTAAGGAAAAAAGGGCGATCAAAATCGGGTAGGTGAAGAACCGGTGCGCATGTGACCGCCTTCTTGAGGGCGTGGAAGGTGTTCTCATGGAGGGGTGTCCAAGCCCAGGGCGGGTTCTTCCGGAGGAGGGTGGAGGTAAGGACGTAGGAATACCTAGCGTATCCCTAGATGAAATTACTATAGTAGCTGGTAAGGCCTAAGAAGTTGCGAAGCTGCTTGGCGGATGTGGGGACGGGTCACTCCGCAACAACAGTGATCTTCGCATCGTCCATGTGGAGACCCTGATCAGACACGTAGTGTCCTAAGAAATCCACTTTGTGCTAGGCAAAGCGGCACTTGCTCATCTTGGGGTAGAAGTCATGTCTGCGCACGCGGTCAAGGATGTCGCGGAGGTGTCTGGGGTGCTCCTAAACGGTACGACTGTACACCAAGATATCGTCGAGGTAGACGAGAACGTGCTGCTCCAGGATGTCCTTGAAGATGTCGTTCATCGCCCTCTGGAAGGTAGCGGGTGCGTTGGTGAGGTCGAAGGGCATCACCGTAAACTCTTAGTGGCCGAAGCGCAATCGGAACGTTGTCTTCGGCTGGTCCGCTGCAGCGACGCGGATCTGATGGTAACCGCTACGAAGATCAATCTTCGTAAAGAAGCGGTTGCCTGCTAGGCGATCGAACAGCTCGTTGAAACGAGGCATGGGGTAGATGCTCTTAACCGTATAGCGGTTGAGCCCTCGATAGTCGATGCAGAGACGGAGAGTTCCATCCACTTTGCGAGCAAAGAGGACGGGTGCACCCCACGGGGAGTTGCTGGGTTTAATTAAACCTGGTCTCAGGAGCTCCTCAAGCTGACGCTTGAGCTCAGTGGCCTCGGGGATCAAAAGTCTGTAGGGTGCCTTGTGGTGAACACGATAGTCAGGCACAAGCTGGATGGAGTGCTCGACGTCGAGCATTGGTGGGATGCCGACGTACGAGAACGACAATGGGAGAATGTCGTGGTACTCTCGAATGAGGACACGAACTGCGGGCTCCAGGTCAGTTGTATATTGTGCGAGTTCCTCAGCGTCAGCGTCAGCGCGCGACGGCGGGGTGGACTCGACGGACGGCGGAGGGTGGGAAGTAGAGATGGGAACCATGGAGATAGAAGGAGGATCTGAATCCAGAGGGATGAGCTCGGTGTCGGGATAGGGTGGATCATAGTGTAAGAGATTCGTAACGTTCACCATAAAGAAGGTGACGTCGTCCTGTCGGATGAAGTGAGCAAACTGCTGAGGCGAGGTGACAGTGATCGTAGGAGATGGTGTGGGCACGGAAGGCTCTGGGGGAGGAGGATCGGGGCGTAGTGCCGCGGTGGTACCTATGAAAGGTACGCGATACGTCTGGCCACTCTTCGTTTTGAGAACGGGAGTGTTGGTCGCCCAATCGGCCTTGGTGCTGTGGAACCGACGAGACCACGGAGTGCTAAGAATGAAGTCGTACCCCGTCTCCATCACATCGAAATGTGCAGAGGAGCGGTGGCGACGAGACGCCGGGGGACGATCAGTTGACTCGAGAGTGAGGAAGAAGAGAGGTCGGTGACCGTCTGATCGAAGAAGCGTTGGGTCTTGTCGTCCCCTAGGGTGACGGAGATGGGAGTCAGAGACCCTGTCGTGTGTAAGCGGGCTTCTTTCACCACACATGGGTGAATGAACTCGCCTTGAGAACCGAAATCGCACAGCGCTGAGTACACCGTGGTGGAGGTCCGCAGTTGTACTGGAATGATCGGGAGGGTGCGATCAGGGTCAGAGAGGATGGTGAGAAGGCGACGCAGTGCAGCGACATGGAGGGTGAATCACTCCTTACGAGCCTGGAGCATGCTCAAGTCAAGAGAGGACACAACGTCCTCGCGAGTCGCAAGCTGCTCGCTGCAACGGGTTGAGCGAATGGCTCGACGGGTCCGTAGTCGCGGCGGGGTAGAAGGGGGGACGGTGGTCTGCAGAGGCGCAAACGGTACTACGACAGAGGGCTGAGTACACTATGTCGGGTCCTGCGATACCTCAGCTCCAGTAGCGAGAGGGGCGAGCCACGACGGAGATGTCGTGAAGTACTGAGGAGGGCGCAGGTGTACACTGCACCGTGGCTAGGAGGTGCCACCGGGATGTGAGGCACCGGGGGGGGACTGAGCATGATGCTGGTGGGAAAGGTCAGCGTAGTGGCGATTAAGGGTCGCGGTGTAAGGGCACCTCGAGGAGGTATGACCGTCTTGGAGGCATCGCAAACACCCACGCTGACCCAAAATAGTCGCGCGCTCCTCAGCGGAAAGGACACCGCGAGGAGGGACAAAGCCCTGAGGGAGGTCCTGCTGAGGGACCTCGGGGAGGCGATGCGCCAGCGTGACTGGAGCGGCTGCGTGTCCGGGAGAGGGCAGAGAGGATGACCTGGAGGCGCTCGGCCATAGGGAGGGTAGAGTCCTCCAAGTGGTAGTGGATGGCCTCGCCGAGATCGAGGTCGTCGCTATGGTCACGCTCGGGCGACAACGGGGCAACAACATCCTGCTCACCATACTCGAGCATGCTGAAGCGACGCGAGAAGTGGTGGCCCCGCTGTGCGGAACGACAGGGGCGACCGTGGAAAGGGGAACGACGCTGGGAAGTGTCGTAAGAGGAGGAGGGGGCGTAACCAGTACGCTGAGGCTGGGAGGAGGAAGTGTGTTGAAGACGCGCCCGCATCCGCTGATGGTCCCTAGCGACCTCGTAAGCCTGCGGGACCGATGTGAACTCGTACCGCCATAACTCGGAGCGGTACTCAAGGGGAAGGCTGGCCAAGAAACGATCGATAAGGGCAGCCTCGGGAAGGAACGCCACATCACAAATGAGGCGGGCATCCTGAAAGACCTGAATGTGGTGATCCACGCTGGCAGTGCCACCAGAGCCAGACCAGCGTGTAGCGACGACATGCTCGAAGGCGTCAGTCACGTCATGTCGGGCTCCGAAGCGATCCTCGAGGAACGCCTGGAAACCCATGAAGGTCGGAGTCCGACGGGCACGAAGGGAGTAAGCGTAGAAATACTCCCAGGCGTCAAAAGGACCGCCACGCAGGCGAGTGGAGAGATGAGTCACCCACGTGTCGGGTGGGGCGCACATGAGCTGGAGCGTGCGGATGGCCGACTGTAGCCACCGGGACACGCGTATGCCTGTACCGTCATACAAGGCAATGTCCGTCAAACGGATGAGTGGTGTGCCACCGTTTTGGAGGCGAGGAGAGCGGGGAGCAGAGGCCTACGCTATGGTCGAGTAAGTCGGCGCAGGTCCTGGAGAAGCGGGTGCAACTGACTGTCCGCCGGGCCACATGGAGGAGCGGTGGGGGAAACAGCGGCACGCTGCGAGGGAGCTGCGGTAGAAGAGGTCGCAGCCACCGAGGGAGTAGGAAGGAGGTAGGGTGGGGGTGGAAGGGGTGCAGGGCGGGGGAAGCGAGCCCACAAGAATGGAAGAGTAGAGGAAGAAGGGGGTGCACCCAAAGGCGCGGCCACCTGTGAGCGTGGGGGTGGCTGAAGGCGTAAGAGGGCGAGGTCGGCCCAGGTCTGGGCAAACTCCTCCTTGAGACGTTGAACGTAGATCGAGCGAGGAGTGGCAGGAGGAAGAGTGGAGGAAGTGGACACACGAGCGGTCCGGGGCATCACGTAGGGGGAGAGCCAGGTGGCGCTGTGGTCGTGCAAAAGGGAGGGAGAAGCGGGGCACCGGAAAACCTGAGACCACGGCAGCGGGTTGTGGTCCCGTGACCGTAGTGACCGGAATCTGGGTGGGTGCGCCCGTAGGGTGAGGGAGGGTGTGGCCAGTGGTGGCCGTCGTGCTAGGAGCGTGGACGGTCACTTGGATGGTCGGATCAGGGCAGCAAAGGAGGAAGCTCCGCCGTGGCCACCATGTCGGAGGACGGGGAACCCAGACTGGGAGCCAGGAGAAGAGAGAGAGTGGGGAGAGGAAGGATGACCAGCATCCTAGAGTTGCCGCAGGCCAGCGGCAAGAGTCGCCATTTGCACCTGTAAGGACGCAAGGAGGGAGCTCAGGTAATGAGGGTGTGCAGATCCCCCTAGGGCTGATGGCCCTGGTCCGTTGGCACGGGTGTGGAGCCCGATGCCGAGGTCGTCGCCGCCTCGGCGGCTTGTGACACGCCGTCGGCCATGGGGAGGTAACGGGCCGGACTAGAGAGGGCTGGAGGAGGTCCGCGTGAGCGGAGAGTATAGGGGGAGGTCTGCGATAGAAAGCGACGTTTGGCGCTAGTAAACCAAGCGCGAGCGCTGCCAAAGGGGGAGGGGTGGTTCGGATCCAGGGTGGCCGAATGAGAAGGGAAAGTAGGGGGGGTTAGGAAAACCTAAACCCTAGAAAAACCCTAAGAAAACCCTAACCGGAGTTTGAGTGGTTAGGGTAGGGTACCGGTGACCTAATCAAGAAAATAAAATAGCAAGCATAGGGGGGGGAAGACGGGATAAAAAATAAATAAACACTGAAATTTTGAGAGAAAAATAAAAATAAATAAGGAAATAAATAAATAATAAAAATAATTAAAGAAATAAGGAAACAAAATATGAAGAGAGATATAATATTTTTTTTTTTAGAATTTTCGGCAGCATTTCCCTACCCCCCATGGGGTCAAGAATGTGCCAAGGGGAAAGGAGAGACCAAGATAA